CTACATTAAAACCAGAATATTTCAATAGACTTTATGTGAAGTCCTTACATCTCCTTCAGCTGAATGTATTGGTATGGATATTGTGACAGACTGATGAGTATTTCACCTGCCTAGTACTGAAGAACAAGACAAGAAGTTCACCTTAAGGCCAACCCGGATTAGACATGCTAAATGGGAACCACTAGAACTGTGCAAGCTCACACAAGTTGTTAGTTTGAGACAGTGCAGGAACCTTGATGGGCAGGTGGAGATTTGTCATTTTAATAAAAAAAATCACAAGTCAGTGCCTATGAGTTCACAGTATAATATCCTGTGTGGCCTGCAGAAAAAGAGGATGGCTCACAGAGACTCAGAGTCAACCCCTAAGGCTAAAGTACTGCCAGCATAATAGTCCCTGATGTGATCCTAGTACAAAAAAATGTAAGAGGCTAAAGGAGAGCATACACACTGACTGATCTTTTTTGCTTTTTCTTTTTTGAGACAAAGTCTTGCCATGTAGCTCATGCTGGTCTTGAGTTTACTATGTAGCCTAGAACTGTTTTGAACTCTTGGAGATCCTTCTGCTTCAGCATCCCAAGTGCTGGGAGTATCGGCAGATGCCACCATGTCCAGCTCACAGTGACTGATCTTATATATGCTTTTTCTGTCTCTTATCATGAAAAGGAGCCAACCACCATTTGCCTTCACATGGGAGGGGTTCAATTTACATTTATGATATATTGCATAGGATTATTTCAATTGAACAGGAGCTTACTGTTATAATTTGGTTAAAAAAGATTTTGACGGGACCAGGGATATAGCTCAGTGGCAGAGAGCCTGCATGGGAAGTGCAAGGTCCTGAGTTCAATTCCCAGTACCAAAAACAAACAAAAAAAGATTCTGACTTTTTTTCACTTTTCTCAAGAGTGATAATACACTATATTGGTGATATCACAGTTTTAGAAACTAAAAACCAAATAGGACTGACTTAAACACAATAACATACATGACCAATAGGGGTTGACTGCTAAATCTAGCAAAGGTTCAAAAGCCTGTCCATATAGCTCAAGTTCCTAGAAATAACTTAGACTACGACATTCCACAGATGAAGAAAAATAGAGACAGTCACAGTGGTGCAGGGCTGTAATACCAGCACTTAGGAAGCTGAGGCAAGAGGATTCCAAATTCAAGGCTAGCTTGGACTATATAGAAAATTGTATGCTGGCCTGAGCTATATACTGAGACCCTGTCTCAACTGAGAGGAGAGGGGAGGGAAAGGGAGGAGAGGGAAGGGGAGGGGAGGGGAGGGAAAGGGAGGGGAGGAGAGAGAGAGAAGGGAAGAAGGAAGACAAAGATAAATTGCTACTGCCCCTTAGCCTTAGAACTAAACAAAGTGCAATATTTGGTTGGTGTTTTTGGATCTGAGTAACTATAGATTCCACATCTGAGAAAATCACTAGTTTCTATCATTACAACAACATGGAAGTGCCCAGCGTTGTGAGAAGACTGTAATACACACTGCTAGCCTGAAAAAAGATCAAAATTCAAAGTTTGGACTTACTGCTTTTGCAATATTTTAAATAAAACCATCATGAACTGGAACTCACCTGTATGCTGGATTATTTAGAAAACAACGGAACAAAACACAGGTTCCAAGACATTTGTGGTATGTTATATGCCATGGTTAAAGGATGGCATTCCGGATGCTGGGGATACTTGTCAGAATAATTAGGGTAGAGGTGCAAGTAGGCAGGACACACATGAAAAATAAGTGGTTAATTTTTTGAAAATTGGTGACACTCCATGTTATCTACTTTTGTGTTTGCTTGAAATTTTCCACAATAAAGTATGCATAAAAGCACGCAAAAACTAAATAAAACTAAAAGGGGAAAAAGCCTACCCCAAAGTAGCTCATACATGAATAGGCGCCGAACAAAAGCCATATTTGAACTGCAAAAAGCAATCTCTTCTCAATACTTTTGGGGGGCTATGATCCACACTTATATGATTATGGAAGTGTCAACAACACATTTTAGCAGACTGGAGCTATGGCTAAAGTCTTGTAAGTGCCACCCAGTGGCATCCACTAGGATTTTAGAGCTAAAAATTTCTGGATGCTTGGTACAATATACATCATTTGAAAAATAAATCGAGACTTGATTTATTTTAGTATCAATCAAGGCTTGATTTGGTTTTTGGGTGATTCCAGAGAAACTCTATTGAGTCAGGCAGCATTCAGGAGCATTGTCTATAAAAGCCACACATGGTAGCATATGCCTATAATACCAGCACTCAGGGAGGCTGAGGTAGGAAGATTGCAACTTTTAAGCCCAGCTTCAGTAACATGACTTAGTGAGACTCTGTCTTAAAAAGAGGGCCGGGGATATAAGCTCAGTACAAAAGCCATGGGTTCAATCCCCAGGATAAATAAACAAACAAACTTGCTTATTTAAATAAATGGAGTCCCTATAAAACACAAATGGCTTATACAGGAACACACAATCAGGCGAATTCAGATATAGGACCTACTTATAAGCAGCTCCCTCCCTCGCCCCTGGCTAACTCTGGATCTACCTGAGGAGCTCCTGGAGCCTATGATTACACTGATGCTACCCTCTGCATGGTTCTCTAGTATAATAATCAATGAAGTGTCATTTAGTTTATGGACAGCAGTCCCAAGGTGAATGGTCAGAATCCTCTTTGGAAGACTAGACTCTGTTTGAAGGAGATAAATGAATTTGATAGTAAACATCAAAGGAGAGATTAATTATAAATTTGTTACAGTAACAGGAATGTCAGTTTTTTAAATACAGTAACATAAATTCAACAATAGCACATCCAGGAAAAGTATAATGGAAGTATAAACAAAAAAAACTGGTGTGATATAAAGTACAGTCATGGATCCTTTAAGAAAGGGACAGGTTCTGAAACTGAGTCATAAGGCAATTGTATCATTGTGCCACCATCAGAGACTAATGAGGCTAGGGTAATCTAATGGGGTCACCTATATATACAGTATATATATATATATATAAATATGTGGTCCCTCCTTCAATCGTTGTTAGCTCTATGGCAGAGCACCTGCATGGCATACACAACGCCCAGCTCAATCCCAGTACTACCACCAAAACAACAAAACAAAACAAAACAAAAACTAAAATCCTGGCCCTGTCATTTTACTCTGAGACCTTGTACAGATTACTAAAGCTTTCTGTGAGCAGACTCCTCCACCTATAGAGTCATAATACCAGTACCTAAACTTTATAAATTAAATGTGGTTGGCACACAGTAAGGATGCAACAATTGTTAGCAATTAAGATTATAGTATCTGGTGGGCATGGTGGCATATGCTTGTAATTCCAGCACTCAGAAGGCTGAGGCAGAAGGATCACTGCAAGTTGAAGGTCAGACTAAACTACACAGGGAGTGCTGGGGATATAGCTCAGCAGCACAAGTGCCTGCCTGGCAAGCACAAGGTCCTGAGTTCAATTCCCAGTATCTAAAAAAAAAATAAAAATAAAAATAAACTACATAGTGAGACTCTTGTCATGGAAAAAAAAAAAAAAAAAACCTACTGTGATCAAATTTACTTCAATGAATTCACTGAGGAAATCATAAATTCAAGGCCTGGGCCAGGGATATAGCTCAGTGGCACAAGTGCCTGCCTGGCAAACACAAGATCCTGAGGTCGATTACCAGTACAAAGAAAAAAAAATAAATAAATTCAAGGCCTGCCTAGGCAACATAGTGAGATACTATCTCAAACAAAACAAAACAAAACAAAACAAAACACAATAACTACAGGCGGTGGCACACGGCTGGAAGGCTGAGGCAGGAGGATGCTAAATTCAAGCCCAACCTCAACAACTTAGCAAGACCTTGCCTCAAAATGAAAAACAGAAGGGTGAATGTGCTAGGAGTCTGGCACATACCTATAATTGCAGAACTTGAGAGGCTGAGGCAGGAGGACTGCCCAGAGTTGGAGGCCAGCCTGGCCTACATGGTGAATTCAAGGCCAACCTAAACTGCACAGGGAGACCTTATCTCAAAAACAAACAAAAAAACAACAAAAAAAAAACCCGCAAAAAACTGGAGAGGGAGCTGAGCAGAGCGAGGGGAATTTAAAAACCAACTCTTCTACCCTCCTTTTTTGTTTTTGCCTTTCTTGGGGGTGGTAGGTGTTATGACAGGGTCCCATTCTGTAGTTTAATCTGATCTTGAACTCACTATGTAGCCCAGGCTGGCTTTGAACTCTCAACAATCCTCCTGCCTCGGCCTCCCAAATGCTGAGATTACAGATGTGCCTGGCTTCCTAAACTTTCTTGACAATAGACTCATGGAACTTATTTCCATCCATACAAAAAAATTTTTCCTAGAAAACACTTTAGAAAATTTTAGACTGTGGATAGATCAGACAATCTTTTTTACTTGTAACAAAAGAGATGCTCTGGAAGCTAAAGAAATTTAACAAAGAAGACTTCTGTTATATAAACGACTAAAAACTTCAGTACTCAGATGAAACAGACTCATAGTTGATTCTCAAGGTAAAGTACGGTTAAAATATAAGTTTTTGTATTACAAAGTAAATTACGCTTCTAATCGATGCTTATTTAGCTGTTTATAAATTGTTAGTTTTCCTACAAATTGTACATCTAACTTGATAGCAATATATTTATGCTTTGATGTTAAAGTGGCTATCACCCACACCCATGAGAAATTAGCCATACCCATACTGCCTTTATGGATTACAACTTACACCCTAAATACGTTAGTTAGTAAAAACTTATCTGAACCAAAAAACAAGGAAATAATGTAATTCCACTCATACAAAGCAAACCTACATGATACATTTCAACAAATATTTATAAGACAATTAGAGCTGAACTTGAAAAACATTAAATTTGTCAAAACACATAATGCCTCAAGAAATAAAATATATAAAATTTAGATTTTAAACGCTGAGACAAAATTTATAAGCAGTTTTTATAATGCTTCTCAGTAAGCAATTATGACTTCTGTACCTATGTTCTTTGTGTTCCAATAGCTGACAGTCTCTACATGTTAGTCTATCACATGTTTCACAGAAAAGTTTCAATTGTTCTTGTCTGTGTACAGGGCAGAAAACAGGGCGCTGACCAGATGCTCCAACAGACTCTGTAGCAAAATAAAACAAATACTTTTTTCAACTAAACATAGTAAACTTTTTATTAATTTTCTAAATTTTAATTGATGCTGGTATGCAAAACTTTTATAAGTAAGTAGAAAATGTTATGGGATCAAAAGAAGGTTAATTATAACCATTAAAACTACATGTATCTTACCTGAGACATCTTCTTTCTTCCTGATCAAGTGATCTTTAGTGAATTTTACTCTTTGATGTGCTTCGATACATGTCTTACATAGCCACTCTCCACATTCTACACAAAAGCCAACTGCACTAGCATTGTCTTCACAACTAGTACATACCTAAAAGAAGAAATAAATACTAATCTACATTAAATTTACCAAATAGAGATCTTTAAATAAAATGGTGAAAACATTCCAACTTGCTGTCAAATATACTAGCAGATTCACTATAAACAGAGTAAAACTTTTGTTAGCCATTAATCTCCAACTAAATCCTTTCCTTATAGATCCAACTTTTAGGTAGGTAAAAATCTCAGGCTCAGAACACAAAGTCTATGCAAGATTTTACTTTTTAAATAATAGTTTTAGTTTCATTTAACTAAGTTTGATGGTATAGAAGACAGCCAACCTTTATTTTCAATTTGAAAGATAAAGCTAAAAGCCTAAGTCACTTAACGATCCCAAACATGGATTTTTTTCTTATAATTTACATTTTGATAGCAAGATAGGAATATAAAGAAAAACTGAGAAGCATACCTGTTCTGATTTTTCATCAGAACTGCTAGGGGCTTCGGATGTGTCTTTCACAAAATAATTATCCACAAGGTCTATCTGTCTGCATTCTTGGCGGCATACTGGGCACCGTATTACACCAACTACAACACAAAATGACAACATTAAGTAATAGTTGGGGGGAGTTGTGCACGATGCCCATATGGAAACCATTTATGTCACAGGCATGACCCAAAGCGAGCATCAAGAGCTGAGTAAAAATGACTGATTTGTTCAAGGGGAGGAGTGTGACAGCCCCCAAACACTGCTTTTTTTACTGCAATAAATAATGCCCCCAAAAGAAACCTTACTCTTCAAAACCTGTTACTTTACATGGCAAAAGGGACTTTGCAAATGTGATTAAGGTTTTCTGATGTGGGCAGGGGCAAAAAGGGTCTCACTGTACCCCAGGCTAGCCTCTGGAACTTGCCATCCTCCTGCCTTAGACTCTTAAGTGCTCGGATTTCAGGCATTCTCTACCATGCCTGGCTGCTAAATTAAGGCTCTCCAGGTGAGAAATATTTCCTACCTGAAATATGCCCACCAGGTCATAAATGTATTCAAGTGACACTAAAAGAGATAGCAAAGCTGAGCAGTTTGGAACATACCTGTAATCTAAGCACTCTGGGAAACTGAGGCAGGAAGACTGCCAAATTTGAGAGCAACCTGGGTGACTTGGCAACTTAGAGAGACCCTTGTCTCAAAATTTTAAAATGTCCTAAATGAGTAAAGGATGCAGCTCAGTGTAAAAGCCTGTAATACTCAATATTAGGGAAAAAAAAAAAAAAAGCAGATGCAGATTAAACTACAGATGAGCAGAAAGCAACTGATAACCGAGTAAGTGATTGGAATGATGTACTTTGAAGATACTAGACATTACAAGAAAGCTGACTACTAGAAGTTGAGCAATAAATGAAAATGAATCCTCTGTCAGAGCTTGCAACAGAATCAATCTTGCCAAGGCATTAGCATTAGCCGAGTAAAATTAAACATTCTGCCCCCAAATAGTAAGATAGTAAGATTTATGTTACTCTGACCTACCACGTTTATGGTGATTTTGTTACAGTGGCAACAGAAAACTAATACACAATCTATCATGTTATAAAATCCGACTTGGTTGAGAGGTAATTTATGCTACTGAGAGAAGAGGGCTCACCTGTGCTTTCACACACATGTGTTCTGTCAGAAAAGATAAACTGCTGAGGTAACACATGGAAGCTAAAGCTAAGAACACAAAAACAGCACCAGTGTCAATACAACAAACTGCTGCATGTCAGTCAATGCAAGGAAGATACAGCATTAATTCCTGCCCTCAAGAAAGAGTTCAAGAATAGTATATAAGGTAGCAAGGTGGTGCATGTCTGTTACCCCAGCATTCAGGAAGCTGAGGTAAGAAGACTGCTACAAGTTTAAGGCCAGCCTAAACTACATAGTGAGACCCTGTCTCCAAAAAAACTTAAGAAGGAAAAAAGATTAGCATATAAAGTCTACAACTCATAGTATGCACAATTACAGAAAGCATCACATAAAAGAATGTGATATAAACTGCTACAGAAGTTGTTCAAGAGTTGTGTAATATGCAAACTACAGAAGCACACAATCACTCTGATGTAAAACAAAAATGTGAATGCCTCATTCTTAAAGTAGGAATGAGGGGGCTGGGGATTTAGCTCAGCGGCACAGGGCCTGCCTGGCAAGTGCAAGGTCGTGAGTTCGATTCCTGGTGCCGGGAAAAAAAAACCAAAAAACAAAAAAAAAAAAAAAAAACAAAAAAACCCCACAAAAAGTAGGAATGAGTCCCCCAGAACACATATATACATTATTATTATTATATAAACTCAAATTACTATACATATTTGAAACAAAATACTGTTTTATATAGCATAATATTTATTATATATTTTACCATCAAAATATCACATGCAAGGGCTGGGGAATGTAGCTTAGCAGCACAGTGCTTGCCTAGCAAACACAAGGCCCTGAGTTTGATTTCCAGTACCCCCCTAAAAATATATATATATACATACATATATACACACACACATGCACACACACACACACCAAAAGCATACAAAGATCTTAATTAGCCAGGTGTGGTGCTGCATGCTGGTAATCCCAGCACGTGGAAGGCTGAAGCATGAAGATCCTGAGTTCAAGGCCAGCCTGTACTACATAGCTGGACTGTTTCAATAATTCACATATACATACTAGCACATACATAAGCAAGCAAACAAATTGGATCAAAGGAAATACACAAAAACAATTTTCCAAACCAAAGAACAGAGTATAGAGGAAAAGGATCAAGGTGTTTATGTTGAGGTGGTACGAATTAAACGACAAATAATACACAACTGCAAAGGAAATTAAGTATAATGAACTGTAGGGACAATGTCCCAAGAGCAACTAACTCTTAAGAGTTAATCAGAACCACAAGTGGTGATACACAGGTCGAGGAAGGAGAATAAAGAGTCTGAGGCCAGCATGAGCTACAGTGTTGAAAGCTGGCTTGAGCTGAACAGTAGGACCCTGTCTTAAAAAAACAAAACAAAAAGTGTGTGAATTAGGTAACTCAAAGAGATGACAACTATCTGGGGTTTCGAGGAATAAACATACATTTACCAGTGTGCAAGAAGTGGTTTTCCTGGCAGGCTTGAGTTGCTCAAACCTTGTACATTCCTAAGAAAGCCCTAAGCACTGCCCCCTGAGTAGCCAGTGGAAGATGACCTCTAAACTCAGGCCATGTTCTGCCTAGCAATGAGAATCTTAGTTTATCTGAGGCTTTGGATCACAATGTATTAGTCTGTCCAGACGGTTTATGCTAACATATCACTTAACAGGGTAGGGTGGGGGTGTTTTCATATGCTTGAGGCCTACTGTACCAAGGTGGACTTCTGGGTGGACCTGAGTCCAATCCGTTAATGTCAGCCCTACTGAGGCTGCATGCCTTCAAGACTCATCCCCAATTAAGAACAAAAACAAAAACTCTGATCCAAAGGCTCAGGTAAGATTTCCTGCTTGAAAGTACCCCTGTGTATTGTCTCACACTATTTCTGAGGTAATTAAGCACCTTGCTGTTCAACTACACTCATGCTTTCATCTGCTTTCTCTTAAAACTTCACGTATCTTCTCCCTTTCTGATGTTAACTGGAATATTTCATTACTTTTTTGTTTTGTTTTATTTTCAATCAATTTTACTGGTACATTTTAGATATAATGATCACATTCATAAAGAATGTGTACCAGGTATATGATATAATTTGATTCTTTTTTTTCCCATTCCCCTACCCTCCCTTCAACCCTTCCTCCTCTCTCCATTTATGAAACCTTTGCTTCCTTTCTTTCCTTCATTTCTCATTTTTTTTTACTTCTCCCTTCCTTCCCATTCCCCTCCCCCTCCCCCTCCCCCTCCCTTACTCCTCTCCCCATTAGAACATTTTTCTTATTTCACAATACATGTTATACATTTTGGTCATTATTTACACTTTTGGTTTCTCACACCAGAGAAACAATGTGGTGGTTACTCATGTGTGCCCAACATATTTCAATTAAGAGTATGCTGTCACGGTGCATCCATTTTCCCAGAAAAGTCTTGAGCATATCCTTATTTGTGGCAGAGTAGTACTCCATTGTATAAAAAAACCCACACCTTCTTTATCCATTCATCAGCTGATGGGAATTTTGGTTGTTGCCAAAATTTGGCTATTACAAACTGTGTCACTATAAACGTGTGTGAACATATCACCATGGCATGATGCTTTTAATTCTTTTGCAAAGATATCAAGGAGGGGAATAGCTAGGTCAAATGGAACCTCTAGTCCCTAGTTTTTTGAGGGATATCCACACTGATTTCCACAGTGGCTGTACCAGTCTGCATTCTTACCAACAGTGGAGAAGGGTTCCTTTTCCCCACAGGTCCCTCAGCATTTGTTATTGGTTGATTTCTTGATAACAGCTATTTTTTTTGAGTGACATGGAATCTCAGTGTTGTTTTAATTTGCATCTCCTGAATGACCAGTGATGTTGAACATTTTTTCATGTGTTTATTTGTTGTCTGTACTTCTTCATCTGAGAAGTGTGTATTCTCAGATGGGCATTCTCAGATGCCCAGTTTTGGATTGGATCTTTAAATTGGGGAAAGGTTCTAATTTCTTTGAGTTCTTTCTATGTTCTTGATAGTAATCCTTTGTGTCTAAGGAACAGCTGGCAAAAATTTTTCCCTAATGTGAGTTGTCTCTTCTTTCTGTTAAGTGGTCTTGCTTGCTATGCAAAAGCTTTTTAACAAGATGAGATCTCAGTTGTCGATTCTGTATGATAGTTTCTGTGCAATTAGGACTTTGTTCATGAAGTTTTCGCTTACACCAATGTCTTCAGGAGTTTTACCAATTCTATCTTTCAGCAGATTTAATGTTTCTGTATTAATGTTTAGATCTTTGATCCATTTTGAATTTAGCTGAGTGCATGGTGAAAGGTATGTGTTTAATTTTAATCTTGAGCATGTGGAAAGTCAGTTTTTCCAGTATCATTTATTAAAGAGGTCATCTTTCTTCTAGTGAATGTGTTTGGCGCCTTTGTCAAAGATAAGGTGGCTAAGTATGTCTGGAGTTGTTTCTGCATCTTCTAATCTGTTCCACTGATCCTCAGGTCTGGTTTTTTTTTTTTTTTGCCAGTACCATGCTGTTTTTAATCACAGTAGCTTTCTAGTGTAATTTGAAGTCAGGGATTGTGATGCCCCCACCTTGCCTTTGTTGCCCACAATTGCCTTTGCTATTCTAGGTCTCTTCTGGTTCCAAATGAATTTTAGGATTGTTTTCTCCAATTCTGTGAGATATGCTGCTGGACTTTTGATTGGATTGCATTGAATCTGTGTAACAATTTTGGAAGTATGGCCATTTTTACTATGTTGGTTCTTCTATCCAAGAACAAAGGATGTCTTTCCATTTTCTGTTATCGTCTTCAATCTCTGGTTTCAGAGTACTGTAGTTTTCAATATAGAAATCTTTTACTTCCTTTGTTAGACTGATTCCTAGGTATTTCATCTTTCAGGATGCTATTGTGCTGTTTCCCTAATTCCTCTCTCAGGGAGTTTGTTATTCATGTACAGGAA